TTAAAAATGCATGTACAGTGAAACATTGAGCCCAGCTTTGTTACCTGAGAATACCACTAGGATAAAGAACAAACTGTCATGAGAAGTGAGGTTATTAAAAAAATTGTATCATGCCTTTGGTCCCCTTAATAAAGATATGGCTCATCTATCTCAAAATCATTTTCCTTGGCCCTTAAGAATCCCCTTTCCTCTCCCCCTCTGCTTCCTTCCTCCCATCCTAATTTAAGTCCTACTTTTTTCCATAGAATCTTCTAGTAGAATTCTGCCTGTGTCTACTTCTCCAGGCCTCAAAAAAAATAAAAATAAAAAAATAAATAAAATAAAAAATAAAAAATAAACCCCACTGTCACAAAAGGAACCATCAGGGTTCTGACTTAGGAGAGAAAGAATGAGAAAAGTTATCTCCATGGAAAAGGGAAGAACTGGGCTGCCACCTAGGGTCAGAGAGGTAGCACAGGACTGGAGGTGGAAGATCTGTGCAACCAGATCACTTTACCTCTAGAGACTCAGTTGTCTCATCTGTAAAGTGGGGGTAATAATGTGACTTCAAGTTAAAACCATCAATGGTGGTAATTCCTGTTAACATCACTGGACTGATATTTCCAGTGGGTCTCAAACTTTTCTACCAAATAGAAAAGAAAAAGTGCGCCCTCGTGTTGTGGGAGTCATGGCCTGAAACCCCCTCCCCGCCCCCCAAATGTTAAGGGTTTCTTTGAGATCCTCTTATATTTAAAAAAATAACACAGATTTGGATTCTACTGTAAAGTCTATGTGTATTTTAGTATTAAAATATTTTAAATTGCTTTTGATCTGCCAGGTGCTACTGGTTTTACCTTGGGCAAGTAATTTAACTTTCCAGCCAGTTTCCTCTGCTGTAAAATATGGATAATAACCTCCCTACCACAGGGTTGTGGTTAGAATTTGCTGAAATCATGCATGTAATATGGATGCATAGTGAATGGTCAGTGAATGTCAGCTGTTATTAGTATTCATTTTATTCTTTTTTAACTTTAAACTTTTCTTTTAATTATTTCAAACTATAATTCAGCCAGAAAATAAAACAGTGACTTTTCAGGGGGAAATCAACAGGATTGGCATGAAAAATCTTTAATGGAAATAAGTAAATTATGTTATATACAGTGGGGCCTTGACTTACGAGTGTCCCGACTAATGAATTTTTTGAGATACCAGCTGTCTCTCGGCCAATTTTTTGCATTGAGTTGATAGAGTAATTTGAGTTAACGGGCTCCTTAACGAGCTAGGTCTCAGAACGAATTAAACTCGTAAGTCAAGGCCCCACTGTATATAATTTAAATTCTTTATTGTTTAAAGCATTACCTATGTCTCCCTTTTCCCCCATTGACCTCTCTCTGGCCACTCCCACCCTCCTTAATTTTATTCGTATTAATTATTTAATTTAGTCCTTTCTTTATTCCATGCATTCATGCAACAGATAGTTATTGCGGGCTTACTATGTGCCAAACAGACCCAGTCTCTGCCATGACTCCAGGCTTCAGAAGGCTGCCTCTTGTCTTTCCTGTGGCTTCCACTTTCCCTTGTTATCTAGCCCTAGACCCAGGAATGCTGGTTCCTGGTGTGAACAGCACAGTCATATGTCATAGGACTAACGCTGTGTCCAGCATCTAGGAGACACCAGATGCAGGACTTAGCACAGGGGCAGCCTTGAAGACCATTTGGCCCACGTGTCACTTTATCAAATGGCCTTCAGATGGGGTTATACGTCTATATCCATATATTACACTCATCAGACAACTTTATAACTGGCATTCCAAAACCAGACCTCCCAGACGGTAAAGCCCTGTGAGTGTCTGTAATCTCGTGAATTCAGAATTATTCAACACTTCGCTTTAATGTGTGTGTGTGTGAAAAGCATTATTGTATTAAATTGACGTATCCCTGTTTTACTTTTTAGCACAACAGCCTTAGAGAGAAAGACTGGCCCAGGGCTCTCTCTACCTCTGCAAGACCCTTCGAGGCCTTCACCCTGGAGCTGAAGGGGCACTGGAGCTCAAACTCGCAGAAGATGTTTGCTCAATCCCCTGTTCAGTTGCTCCCTTCCCAGCTGTCGTCCAGAACCTGGCACAGTGACCTCCAGACAGACCTACTGACTGGTTCAATAACCAGGCCTTCGAAGCACCTGCTGCACGGTGCCTGCTTCCCCCTCAAGGGTGGTCCTCAACCGCCACTCCAGAGCTCAACGGATACACCCAGCCCCACCCACAGGATATCCAACAAAGCAAACGGGCCTTGGGGACGTGCCAACGGGGTGATGGGAACCCAGGCCTGTTAACCTCCTCCAGACCGGCTGGTTTGCCCAGGTGGGCTTGATTTTGCTTTTGTTTGCTGTCATTTAATTTGCTTCTAAAAAGCAGCTTCCCTCTCTGCCTCAGGAACCCCAAGGCCTCAGAGGCACTGCCTACAAAAACAGGCTCGCTCTCAGTTGGTAGGAGTTGGGACTAAAAGCCCTGGAAGGACACTCTGCAAGTTGTCCTTCCTTATAAGACATACATTATTTGCCTAATGACTCTCTTTTCCTGACTTCAAAGCACAAGTAACCGATTCTGTGTTGCCAGCCATCTCCTCATCTTGAGGCCCTCGCAGTCACTGGTGAGCACAGGGCTCCGGCTCAAGAAAGGACAGATAATTCACTAGATGCTTGCTTCCGCTCCACCCCCTCTGCCTTATCTCAATTAATTATTTCACCAACCCACAGAACAGGTTTTATAGATGAGAGAACTGTAGCTCAGAGCTGCTAAGGGTAGGGTCTGTATTATAATTTGGCTGTCTGAAAAAAAAAATAGATAAAACACGCCTTTCCCACCAAACCATTCAGCTTCTTGCTGACGAGTGCCAGTTAGACACCAGGCGCGTTTCCTTTCCTGGGCTTTGGCTCACTAAAGGGTTACACCCCCCAGTCGCCTCCCCTTGAGCTGGGAACTACAACTTCCAGCGGGCGGCATAGATCAAGAATGCTTCCCCTTATTCCACCTGCTCACTCCATTTCACTTCCTGATTTGGTAAAGCCTGTCGTCGCCTTTACTAAGGCGTGCCCGTGCCCCCGTCCTCTCACCTTCGATGCAAAGATGGAAAAAAAAACCCAAAACATTCTGAGACACTGACAAGGCTGGTGACCGTCAGAAGGACGGGTGTTTACACTAGGCGACCTCGGATGATCACAAACGCATTCGCGTTTGCAGAAACGACGGCTGCACTCAAGCCCCCACTCCCTCCGTCCCAGGCACTACTCACCGGCGGCGTTCCCCTCGGGCCCACCTATCAGGGTTCCTGAGAAATGACTGAACCGCTGCGCGCAACCCGGAGGCACAGCCCCCTGAGTCCCTGCCCCGACTCGGTGCTGCCTGGGGCCTGCGGTGTTTTGCTTTCAAAGACCGCAATTTGATTGGCGCGGCCGCCTGCCAGTCAGAAGCTGGAGAGCACTTTGCTCAGACGAGTGGCTGTGAGAGAGGGTGGGCGGGACGTTGCTAATTGGCTGCGCTGCCAGGCTTGGTTGAAGCGTAGGGGGTGAGCCTTGCGGAGGCCACAGCCTGCAGGAGCGTTGCTCTCACCTCGAGCCGGTCCCTCTAGCGGCCACGGGAAGGACCTTGGAACACACCCTGCTCCCCCTCTCCCGCTGTCTTGGGGAGCTCAGGTGACCACTCACCTGCACCTGCGGGACAGGTGGCAGCTCCCGGGCTTTGCTCCTGCCATCCATTCCCCCAAACCCACGCTCTCACCGCGATCCAAATCCTGCACATCCTTTAAGACCCGGCTTCCCCCAAAAGTTCCAGAGCCATATATGCCTGCCCTCCGTAACACCCGTTGGGTGCATCATATGCCAACCCCCCAGCACGCCCGCAACTCAGCAACGCTTAAGGGCCTCCTGAGCACTGATGTTTCCCTGATGCACAACTGTGCGAATTAACACGAGCATAGAACTCACACCTTTTCACTAACACGCATTTCGTTTCCGATCCTCACAACAAGCCTCTGAGTGAGACACTGCGCTCATCCCATGTTACCGATGCAGAAAGGACAGTTGGGCAGCGACCTCAGTGATGACCAAAGGGCCAGTTACGGTGGAGATGGCTCAGAGGGAACGCCTGAGAGCGCGCCGGAAACTGGCTGATGTGGGAACGGCCCACGGGCGGCGGGCGCTGCCTCCGGAGGGAAGGGCCGGGACAACTTAGGGTAAGATGTTGGATTTCGTCCTAAGTTTAAAGGGACGCCGGGGGCGGGTCCTAAGCAGGGGCTGACAAGGTGACTGACTGCTCCGAAGCGTGGAGAGAGGGGCTGGTGGAACCCGAGGCGGGTGCCTTCGTACAATCGCCCATATCAATCTCTTTTTCTTTTGTTATTGTCAACAGGGCTTGGGTGATAGTTCTCTTAGGTTTATTCCTTGAAGTAGGATTTCTGGGTGGACAAGATTGTGAGACTTTTGTCCAATCACAAGAGTTCTGAGGGGTCGCCTAGGTAAGCCTCCATTGGGTTTCCCCACGGGTCCTGAGGTAGGTAGGATGAAGCCTAAAATTCTGGCAGCTTCCCTGCAGTTTTTAAAGCGTCTCTAACGATTGGCCAATGACTTATCACGCTAAAGAAACAGAGGACACCATTGGCTAGAGTTCCTCACGTGGTCTCCAGACTGTTAGGCTGTGGTTGCCATGGAGACGGAGAAGGTTGGGCCCGGCCAGACTCAGGCCAGGGGGAACCGATGAGGTAGGAGGCAGGTCCTGTTGGGGCCCTGGTCCCAGGGTCCTGGGAGGTGGGCCTGGCGCACCCATGGGACACCCCCCGAGACCCCGCCCTGCTGGGTACTAGGTGATGCCCTGAGGGCCGGAAGAAACCACCGTTGGAGGTAACCCCTCCCTGGATTGTGCCCGCAGAGTCCCCACCTGCAACATGGTGATTGCACCCAGGGAATGCCTTCCCCACGGAGCTTCCGTGCAGGGCCTGGGCAGCTGACTCCCCGCCTCCGCCCCGCGAGTGTGCAGACATTTGGGGCTGCGGGGCCTGGCAGCTGGTGGGCGGCAGAGAGCAGAATTCTCACCCCAGCTCCTCTGGCCTCCCTCTGCCAACATCTTTCCTGCTCCGAGCTCCACGCCTGCCACCTGTGAAAAGAAAGGGTGAGATTGGAATCTAGTGGTCATAGCCGGCTGTGACAGCTTTTGACACGTTTTCTCAGCTTATGAAAAATGTCAAGTGGGTTATTTACCTGCGGGTGCTTTGAAAAATGTAAAAAAATAAGACACACCGTAGCATTATAACTGAATGGATAAAATCTCACACAGTCGAAACTATTCATGCAAATCCCGTAAGCAGTATACATGGTTTAGCATATATTGATATACCCTATACAGTAGCATACACGTACATATAAATGCTTAAGATATGTGATAATACTATAACATAAATGATAAACGGTTTTTTTAAACATAGAGATGGTACAATGAAAACATGCCTATCGTAATCATGTGAGGTAAATCTTTATAGAATGCAGCTCTTGAAGGAAAGAGTCGTATTATGAGGACATCTGTATACATTATTGCTAACATGTGTTTACCCCTAGTAAACACATTCACTCATTCGTTCCACAAATATTTATTGAGTAACTACTATGTGCCAGGAAACAGACTGGGGATTCCATGATGAATATTCTATTGGGGAAGATCATAAAGAAATACACACAAAATATGATGTTGGGGAGAGAAAAATGCTATGAGAAAAATAAGGCAGGTTCCTGGGCTAATGAAAAGTGGGGTGGTGCTGCTTGGGAGTGGTCCAGGGAGTCACCCCTAAGGGCTGAGCAGAGACACAGATGAACCTGGTGACAGGACCAGGAGATGATGCCCACTGTAGTGAGGGGAGCAGTCCCCGGCAACAAGGAGACATTGCAGAGGCTGGAGAGGTCCCTGTGGGGAAGAGGATTCGTTTGTAGGTAGTGGGATATGACTAATGGGTACATTTAGACATACATATGAAATGTAACTTCCCACCCCCAAAACACCTATTATTAAGTTCGCTAGATCTTTCTGTAGTGTCAAATATTTTTTGGCAGGCTGTAGATCTTTTTGTGCCCAGGTGGCCATCTTCAGTTACTTGAAGAAGAGTCATATAGAACAGTGGCTTTCAAACTTTCTGACTGTGACCCATGGTCAGAAATGCAGCACACATAGGAACCTAGCAAACTTAACAAAAGACTACAGGCTATCGCAGTGATGGCGAACCTATGACACGCGCGTCAGAGGTGACACACGAACTCATCTTTTTGGTTGATTTTTCTTTGTTAAATGGCATTTAAATATATAAAATAAATATCAAAAATATAAGTCTTTGTTTTACTATGGTTGCAAATATCAAAAAATTTCTATATGTGACACGGCACCAGAGTTAAGTTAGGGTTTTCCAAAATGCTGACACAGGGAGTCATCCCTAAGGGCTGAGCAGAGACACAGATGAACCTGGTGACAGGACCAGGAGATGATGCCCACTGTAGTGAGGGGAGCAGTCCCCGGCAACAAGGAGACATTGTAGAGGCTGGACAGGTCCCTGTGGGGAAGAGGATTTGTTTGTAGGTAGTGGGATATGACAAATGGGTACATTTAGACATACATATGAATTGTAACTCCCCACCCCAAAAACACCTATTATTAAGTTCACTAGACCTTTCTGTAGTGTCAAGTATTTTTTGGCAGGCTGTAGGTCTTTTTGTGCCCAGGTGGCCATCTTCAGTTACTTGAAGAAGAGTCAGATAGAACAGTGGCTTTCAAACTTTTTGACTGTGACCCATGTCAGAAATGCAGCACACGTAGGAACCTAGCAAACTTAACAAAAGACTACGGGCTATGGCAGTGACGGCGAACCTATGACACGCGCGTCAGAGGTGACACGCGAACTCATTTTTTGGGTTGATTTTTCTTTGTTAAATGGCATTTAAATATATAAAATAAATATCAAAAATATAAGTCTTCGTTTTACTATGGTTGCAAATATCAAAAAATTTCTATATGTGACACGGCACCAGAGTTAAGTTAGGGTTTTTCAAAATGCTGACACGCCGAGCTCAAAAGGTTCGCCATCACTGGGCTATGGCCTGCACTTTGAAATCACTATCACCAGTATGGAAGAGAAATGAGACTTATTCTGAGTCCATTTCGAGGGCTAGAATTGGGATGACTGGAGAGAGAGAAAGGGGGGTGGGGGTGGTCAGCTTGATACAGATAGGGACTTTCTAGCTAGCAGTTAGAATTACCCAACAGTGAACTACCTCAAGAATTTTCAAACTGACCTCTAGGGAACCTCAGCATTCTGTAAAAACTTGAGACAGCCTCAAAGATTAAGAAAATGAAAAGGTAGCCATAGCCGGTTTGGCTCAGTGGATAGAGCATTGGCCTGCGGACTGAAGGGTCCCGGGTTCGATTCCAGTCAAGGGCATGTACCTTGGTTGCGGGCACATCCCCAGTAGGAGGTGTGCAGGAGGCAGCTGGTCGATGTTTCTCTCTTGTCGATGTTTCTAGCTCTCTCTCTCTCTTCCTTCCTCTCTGTAATAAATCAATAAAATATATTTTTAAAAAAAGAAAAAGAAAATGAAAAGGTAAACCTCAGACTGAGAGCAGATAATTCCAAAACTTATATATGATAAGGGGCTTGTATCCAACATACATTAAGAACATTTACAACTCAATAACAAGATAACCCAATTGTTTAAAAAGGGATGTGAACAGGCACTTTACCAAAGAAGGTGAAGAAATGACAAATAAGCACATGAAAATATATAAATTAAAGTGACAATGAGATACCACTGTAGGGCCACGAGAATGACTAAAACTATAAGATTTACCACACAAGTGTTGGTGAGGATGGGTAACAACTGGAACAGACTCCTGATACATGCAACACCATGGGTGAATCTCAAAAGCATTGTGGTAAGTGAAAAAAGACAGGTTACAAAACAGCACAGACTGTATGATAACATATATATGGCATTCTAGAAAAGGCAACCATTGTGACAGAAAGCAGAGCAGTGGCTGCCAGACACCAGGCTTGGGAGGGTATTGACTGCAAAGAAACACAGAAAACTTTTTGGGCTCATGGATATATTTATATCTTTAAAACTAGAGGCCCAGTGCACAAAATTCATGCACAGGTAGGGTCCCGAGCGGCTGCCGACTGCCGGCTGGGGCCTTCCTTCATTCCGTGCCGCCCCCTGGTGGTCAGCGCATGTCATAGTGAGCAATCGAATTCCCAGCTGGTCGAACTCCCGAGGGAACACTTTGCACATTAGGCTTTTATATATATAGATTGCAGTGGCAGTTCACATAATTGTAAACATGTCAAAATTTAGAATTGTATACATAGTGACAACGTAGTAACTCCTGAATTATAGTG